TTCTGTGGAATAAAACCGTTATTCTAAAGGTTTTATCTTATTTATCACGACACAAATTGAGCTAAAGTTGCCTTGTGTGCGTTTGCTATTTTGAAAACGTCAGGCGCACAAATTTTGTTGCGTTAACATAATCTTCGCTTCAGCAATAACCTTAGGACTATTTTAGTAAGTACATTCGTGTGATATACCGTAAGGGTGTAGCAAATTATACTTAAAATTAAGATTAGAACTAAAATTAAGATACATTTTAGACTTGAACGTAATTGATTAAGATGGATTTTATATTTCTGTTTATGTATTTATTTATTCATTGTTACACATGTATTATTCTATTTAATTTAAAATTCCAAATATATCTAGATTTATATTCCGATATGTTACATTATTTGTGATAATTATTTACAATCGTCATTCAAGAACTCGCCTACAGAGTAGTAGCACTTTGATGAACAGTAAATTTTTAAGTAGGCGGAATAAAGTTGACCTTAATAACTTAATAATTGTAAAAGCACATGAAACTTAAAAGGCTGATATTCGTTTCAATCACTTTTATTAGTTTCTTTGATAAAATTATTACACAAAGATCGAAATTTTAGAAAAATTCACTTCCAACCAACGTCTTCCAAGCAAACCGTGCCAGACATTAAGAACTAAGACACGGAACGAACCAGCGGACCTCACGATTTTATCCATGTGCTTGTTGTAGATCTTTGTTTCGGTTTTTAACGACTGTTTTCCCGTAACGCCATCTGTGAGAAATGTATAAAATGATAAAATGAATCCGTTGATAAAGTTAATTCAAACTTGATTAAGTCTATAATGGTGATTTGACTATGACAAGCAAACGTCTTGTTTAATACAATTAACTTTAAACTTGATAGCTATGTATGTACAAATTTAGTAATAACTTTAGTAATGAAGGAGTAATCAAATTAAAATTGTTTCTTAAACATTCAATCACTTTTTTCATCGAAGCAAAAGGTCCACTTTCGTGAAAATAACTGTTGTTGAATAGTAAATGTACATACAAATACATAAAAATGTACTAAAATGTAATTGTAAATAAAAATGTACATGTAAATACAAACATAGTACATGAAAATTACTATGTTGAATAGGCAGTATAGTTTTAATACAAATTCAAATAACCATTATGAAGTATTGTGCCTATTTGATCATAAATACAACAAAAAACAAAATTTACTTTATATTTTAGCCTATATAGTCTGTCTGTGGCATAGCAGCTTCAAAATGGATAAAATGATCTACGACCAGTTTTTGTACCTAAGAGTCGATACTACCTTAGCTCCAATTCAATTTTTCCCGGTTTCACGCACTTTCCGGTAACCGATGTCAATAAAATTTGGCAAAGAGATGTAATTATACGAACTTTGAGGTCGGTTTTTGTAGCACTCTGTACTGAGATTATTATGATACCTAATGAGTGACGGGACGAACAAGTCGTGCGCCTGATGGAAAGCCACACACCTGTTCATAACATTTGCAGTGCCATTCAGACCTTTAAAACACAAAGATCTGAGGGGTACTACCACTGCACCCGTCACCATGAGACATAAGTTAATAAGTCTCGTGTGCCTGTAAATTCAACAGCACCCTTACTCACATTATTGCTTGGTGGTAGAAATAGGTAAGGCGTACAGCCGCCTTTCCTTTCCTTTTTAGTTCCCGGGACGAATTCGTTCACAAGGAGATCTACTAAGCTTTATTTAAAGGCAGACCCATCGAATTACTGCTCGTTAGGCGGATCTCGATGAGCGGGCTAACTCCCTGTGCGGGTTCGCCCTCACAGGTCATAGTGCCCTTCCCGCATAGCCAAAAGGTAGATAGGGAGGGGCACTATACTTTGATTTAAACTTTCACGATTTTCACATATTATTTGATTTTTAATTCGGGACCTAATCACGTATAAAACATATTTTAATTACCTCGACGTTTCGGACATACTGCACCGTCCATGGCCTCGAAAGGACTGAAGAGGCGGGTGTCAGCATCTTCAGCCCTGTGAGTTTTTCTAACTACCCGCACTTGATGTTCATTATTTATTTGTGCACTAGGGTTCTCATTAGACCGACACACAACATTCACGACATCTGGCGACTTGCCGGACGATACTTCATGTCGTTTACATTTGCTGATATCTGGATCCCATGACGATGAAAGCTTAAAACCGTCTTCTCGGTTGAAATTACGGTGTTTTTTAATTTCAATAGCTTCACGTACGATTCTACTATAGTGATGACGTTCTGTAGAAAGGATCTTAGTATTATGAAGCTCAATCCAGTGGTTTGGTTCTGATTCCAGCAAATGCTCGGCTATTGCAGACTTATTGAGCTGACGGTTCTTAACAGTCGCGATGTGTTCTTTAACTTTTTCCGCTATGGTGCTCCCAATATAGGAACTCCCACAACTGCAATCAATCTTGTAAACGCCCGGAGATTGAAAGGGGATTACATCCTTAGGTGATCTGACATGCCCCGTGACCTTAGATAACGGCGTAAACACAGTTTTTATTGAGTACTTTTTTAGTACTGTACCGATTTTGTCCGTTATTACTTTCACGTGAGGCATGAACATTGGTTGCTTTAATACGTCAGGAAGTTTTACTTTAGTTTTCCGCCGTGGTTGGAAACGTCGAGGTAATTAAAATATGTTTTACACGTGATTAAGTCCCGAATTAAAAATCAAATAAGGGACACTATAAGCAAAACTTATGTAGAAATATGGGACTGATCTCGATGAGTATGACCAATGAGAAGATTTGGTAGTCGACTTAGAGTCGGCGGCGCAGCGGTGGCAACCGTTAGTCGTGTCGAGCGCGACGGGAAGTGAGCGTGCCTGCAGCTCCGGTACCTATGTGGAAAATAGGGAGGGTGCTGTACGTGCACCCGAGGCGGCTCACCTAAGGCACTAGTCTTACAGAGAACCGGATGAAGGGACTGACCTCGATGAGTAACCAAAGGGTTACGAGATAAGTCCCAGACATTCTCAGTGTACAGACACTGGCTGATATGGGTTCAGTTCAGAACATGAACTTAGAAGATTCCTGTGCACGCACAGGTTATAGTGCCCTTCTTGTGTCCTCGCTACCGACCCCCGACCCTAAGGGTCGGTAGGGAGGGTCACTATAATCAAAACTAATGTAGAAAGATATGGGGCATGGTCTCGATGAGTAATAAGTCGACAGATGGTATCTTTATTGACTTTTTAGGGTTCGGTCTTTTGTATTGGGGTTTTATAAAATTAAATTTCGTAAATAATTTTAATTAGTAAAAAGTATCATTTTAATATTGCAGGTTTCTGTTTTTGCAGATTAAGTGTAGGTTTTCATAGAGGTTCTGATTAATTCGTTCATTTCAATATTCTTCGAACCTAATAGATGAACGCCCTGTAACGCAGTTCATATTATGATAAATAAGCGTATATTTTTCACAGAAATATAAGGGTGCTCATAGACAAGCGCGGGGTTAATGCGACACGATTTAGGACAAGAAGCTTGACGGAGTGCGGCGGGCTGCGAACGCGCCGTGACACATGGCACGGCCATAATATTATTATGACAAGAAATTTCTTCATTTCGCCCTTTTTGCCAACGAGATAGCCGTTATCTATCATGCCTTGTGCAATATAGCTTCGTTGTACTTGTGGCAACCCTTGTCTAGAGAGATAGCTTGTAAGAACTTTGAAATTGATGTACGTAAGGTGTAATAAAGGACAGATGTAATACTATAGCGACTGATTTCTACTGAAATAGGCAGAGACTATATGTATATTCATCCTACACATTTTTGACATCTCTTTCGCTTCCTCGACCAACGCACAGACTTTTCAAGTAGGTACAGACGGCAACACATCGAGCTATACATTAACGGATCTTGTTCCGTTGCACTGGATGTAATATTTGATCAAAAGTATATGGCATGATGTGCTGTTGACTGTACATTCAAAGTAGGCTGTAAATTCGCGGGTGTCATGAACACACAACATAGACAATCATAAATTACTCCCAAATAATTGTAGGCCATACAAATATTTATCTCGACCCGGGAATTAAACCCGGGGTCTATGTGTGGTAGGCCAGCATAGTAATCGTTCGGCCACAGAGGTAGTTAACACGAAGGCAGGCCATCACTTTGCATTGTGGGCGTTTTTCTACGTTGGTTCTGACCTAGGTGTTCTGGGTAGTGCTCCAGAATGAATTCCGTTACTCTGGTACTCATAGAATTCCCTAGTTTGAGATAGGTAACTGGTGTGGTTGTCTAACACGTTGTTACGATTATACGTAGTAAATACAGTTAGTTAATATTTCAACACCGATAGTATATGTATAGATATCCATAGATGGACCATCTGATCGATACATCTTCTTGTAATGGCCATTGGCTGTACGTACAAGGTATATTGATCGATTGACGCAAGTCCAAATTATGCCTCTCTACACCCAATTTAGAAATGTATGACAATGAAATCTACATTTTTTTAATGCAATTTTCATTTTGTTACTAATCTGTAAAAGTTAATAATCAAAAAATGAGTTTTTCTCAGATAGAGAACTTTATGCAAAATAAAGAATCCATTTCTCATCAGCCACATTGCATCAGCATTGTAATATAATACACACACATATTTAATGATTGTATGAGAAGAAATGCTAAAGAAATACCAGAACGTTTAATTTGAATAATTATAACTATTTTATAAAAAAAACCGACCTCAAAAGTTCGTGGAATTAAATATATTTGCCAAGTTTCATTGAATCGGTTACCGGAAAGCGCGCGAAACCGGATTCATCCCCTAGTTTGCCACCCATAGGCGTGGAATATCTTCTTCAAATTTACAAAACCAATACTGAGGTACTTATTCCTTTTTTTTAAAAAAAGGAATACATCAAAATCGGTTCACAAATAATCGCGTAACATAC